TCCCTCCCTCCCTCCCTCCCTCCCTCCCTCCCTCTCTCTCTCTCTCTCTCTTTCTTTCTTTCTTTCTTTCTTTCTTTCCTACCTTTCATTTTTATTTCTTTGATTCTTTTCTTTTTTTTTTTTTAGAGGTTTTTGCCTTAGGGCATGCACATTCACTGGGGAGAGAGAGAGAGAGACAGTGAAAGGGAAAGTGAGAAATTACTCCGTAATTGGGACACCCACACTGCAATCCTTTCTCTGTTCTCCAGGGATCTTGGACACACACGCGCGCACACACACACACACACACACACATGCCTCTGGCATGAGTTTCAAGCCACTGGGTCTGGAACTTGAACCACAGTTGGCCATGTGGGAGTTCAGCGACATAACTGCTATGCCACCTACTGGACCCATCATAAAGTTTTTAAGACTTTAAAATTTGGCATAGCTAATACAATTTGCAGCCCTCCCCCTCTCCATAAAATAGTTTTGGAAATTAGTTTCTTATAAACTTACCGATATTTTGAAAATAGAATTATGGGGGACCAGCAGATGGCATAATGATTGTGTCACTGGACTCCCATGTGGTGTACCACAGCTTGAGTCCCAGACCCAGCAGATTAGAACTCACGCCAGGGGCCTGTGTGTCAGTGCCCAAGTTCCCAAAAGGAGCATGGAGGAGAAGGGATTGTGTTGTGACCAACCCCTGAGGGATAATTTTTCCCTTTCTGTCTCCCTGTCTCTGTCTCTCTGGCAAGTGCACATGCCCTATAGCAAAAGTCTCTCTTTAAAAAAAAAGAAAATATTACTATACACATGTATTTAATAGTCATTTAAATTTTTTAACCTTCATAATAGCTGAAATGTGGTTTATTTGATGTTGTATTGAAATTATACTTGGGGGAACAAGCAGATGGCGTAAGTTACGTCATTGGACTCACATGTAGTTGGCATGGTTTGAGTCCAAGACCAGCGGCTTAACATTCACACCGGCATGTGCGTTCATGCCCAAAATCCCAAGAGGAGAATGGAGAAGGGATTGTGGTGTGGCCATCCCCCCTGGGGGGATCATTTCTCACTCTCTCTCTCTCTCTCTGGCAAGCACATGTGTCCTGTAGCAAAAAAATCTCTCAAAACAAAGTAGGAAAAAGAAAAGAAAATGTACTGAGAGACCAGCATATGGCATGTGTGGGGCATGAGACTACCACATAGCTGACTGAAGTTTGAGTCCCGGACATGGCGGCTTGAAACTCATACCAGGTGCATGTGCGTGCGTGCTCAAAATCCAGAAAGGAGAATGGAGGAAAAGGGATTGTGGCGTGGCTATCCTCCTGTGGGGTGATTTCTTATGTTCTTTCTGTCTCTTTCTTTGTCTCTCTGGCGAGTACATGTACCCTATAGCAAAAATCTCTCGGAAAAAAAAAAAAGAATAAAAGTATTTTATTAGCTTCTAAAGCATATATCATTGGAGATGAATTGGTCAATACAATTAGTTAAGGATTTTCAAGAGCAATGTGTTTGGATCATTAAAACTTTTCTTTCTTGGGACCAGCAGTTAGTATAATGGCTATGGACTGGACTCCCATGTAGCCAACCATGGTTTGAGTCCCGGACCTGGTGGCTTAAACTCACACCGGGCGTGTGTGCATGTGTGCATGTGTGCCCAAGATCCAGAGAGGAGAATCGAGGAGAAGGGACTGTGGCATGCCCATCCCCCCTGGGGGGTGATTTCTCACTTTCTGTCTCTCTGTTTCTCTTTCTGGTGAGTGCACATGCCCTATAGCAAAAACCTCTCCAAAAAAGAAAAGAAAGAAAAGAAAAAAAAACCCTCTTCTTTCTTTCTTTTTGTTTGTTTGTTAGAAAAATTCCTTAGAGATACATGAGATAAAATGTAAATTTATTGCTGTTTTTCAGTAAATCCTGTTTCCATAGAGATTTTGGCCAATAAATTGCTTTCTTCTAGATTTATTTAATAACAACTGTCCTAAAAGAATTGAATCTGATGCCAAGGTAAGAAGTAATCCCTTCTTAGTTAAGATTTTCTCATGTAGGTAAACATACCGGGGCCTCACAATTGATAGCAAATTAAGTAACGAAGTTATCAAAACACAGCTACCAGTCATATTAGGTGCTTAACATATGCCAGGCATTTTCCTAAGCAATGCTGTGAAGATAAAATTAGTTAACTTGGATTAAAATTTAAAAAATTTAAATCAGTTAATGTAATCCTCAGCAACTCTACCATGAGTTGGCTTTACTATCTCATTTTATAGATCAAAAAAGGAGACACAGTAAGGGATTGTAATGAAAGACTTAAAGATTTTCTGTCTAGAAGGAAAATTTGCAAGACAGCGAACTGATTTAATTCCTTAGTAGCTCTGTACGACTGAAGTATGGCTTGGCCGTTTTATGTTGCTATTGCCCTAGGAAGACCTAGAGAACACAATAATCGATCAGGTTCGACTCGTAGACTGAGAAAAGGTAGAGAAGTTGGAATTACTTATGGAACATTCTAAATGGACTGCTTGTTAAAAGCAAGGGGAGTGTCTAGTAAAGAGCTTAGCTAGGTAGATTAAAGAAATGGTCTCTCTCCATCTGTTCTAATTAGCTTAGCCCTCCCTCTTTTATAGCATGCTGGTTATTTCAGAAAAGAAGTGAGAGCTACTTTGAAAGGACACCATTTTTATTTACGCTAATTTATAATGGTTTTGGGGTGGTCATCCATTCTCAAACATAAACTTTTAAATGTTGGGCCTTTCCTGTAATAGTTTGTTACCAAAAGTGTCAAGGCTTCGGACACTCATTTAAGGATTTTTGTCCTCTCCTCATTCCTTTGGTTTTGGCCCAAATGATTATGTTTCCTCTTTTTGGGAAGATTCCTCTGGCTATTTTGATATTTGTCCTGATAAAAGGAGACTTTGCATCATTAACAGGTATTTAAAAATCTACCTTTCTTTTCATCTTCCTGTATAGCTGTAGCATACTCTTCAAACGTAGCATTAGTTAGTATGAGCACTGTGAGAAATTGAATCCAATACTCTATTAATCTTTGGTACTGCTTTTCTTAAACTGTTTTAAAATATCTCCAATAATTTTGGTTTTCCCTCTTCGCTGATAATTCCTGCTTCAAACCCTGCTACCCCTTATTTCTTGTGTTAAAATTGAATGTATGCTTGATTTCAACCACAATATTGATTAAGAGAGTGGGAATTAAATGGAAAAGAGAGACTGAGTGCTTTTCTTCTCACCTTAGATATGTATGCCTACCTAAAGTCTGAGCATTGACTTCACAATCCAACTGTGGCACGAGTGTCGGTTTTTATTTATTTTATCGGGTACCTTTTGTAGCTTTTTGTATATTCATCCTCATCGGAAGCCTTGACTATGCTTTCGCTCTGCAGCACCGACGTACTTCTCTTTAGAGGAGATCCAACAGCCCAAGAGCGCAGTTTCTTTTCTTCTGCCTGAAGAGTCCACAGACCCTTCTCTGTCCACTAAAAAGAAACAGCCTCTGGACCACAGGAAAGCTGAGCGACGGTGGTTACTCAGAAAACGGCGTTCTAGTCTGTTTCCTGACGGAGTGAAAATCTGCCCCGACGAAAGTGTAGCGAAGGTTGTGGCAGACCATTTGAAGTATTTTAAAGTCCGAGGTAGGCAAGCGTTCAAATCTTCAGAGTCGATAATGGAATTCAAACAGTTCTATCACTTTTGTTGTATCGCATTGTAAGTCCAAATTCGGGATAATTTTGGACTGAGCCAGCCCTTTTACTAGCGATGGAAAACGCTTGCTAAGAATATTGTGCAGTATTAATATACTTTCAGAAAAAAGTTTCCATTATTTTCAGAGAAGAACTGTTTTAAATCTTTTTAAGTACTTCAAAAATATCACTTTATGTTACTGGAGAAGCTAATTATAAAGTTTACTTCTTCATTATTTGCCTAAATATACCTACAAATTATATTTGTCAAGGCATATACTCACCTGTTTGCCTACTTTGTTATTTTATATACATGAAAATCCATCAGTTTCTATATTTTATAGTTGAGATATTCTGCAGATTCATGTGGCTTGCTCTCTAGTTGCTACTCATAAAAACTTTTATGTCTAAAATGTCATTTCTGATGATGGTTGTGATAAGCACAACTTAGATTTTAATTTATTTTGTCTTTACACAGTGTTATCCCTGATCTCATACCTTTTAGTAATTTGAAATCTGTTTTTTTTTTTTTTTGGTATATATTAACATTGTTTAATTGATCTTAGACTATCCCTTAGACATTCGAAGGATTCTCAAAGTTTGCTCTTTCCAGCTCAAGAGGCAATCAAAAGTCATAATATGGATGGGCTATTAGTAAACAAAGGTGGAGGTAGAAAATGAAATGATTTTAAAATCAGTCTTATTTTTTCATGCACTTATTCATCCGTTTATTCAGCAGATGATTGTTGAGCACGTGCTATTTTCTAGGCACTGGGTTATGTGCACTTTCTGTCTGAGCTGCTACTTCATCTTCTTCATTTTCCTCTTCTGTGTCCTTCCTCTCCTTCACCCTCACCAGAGTTGTCAAAATAAAATAGAAATTTAATACCAGATATTACATACCTTTATATATTTGACATTTTTGTTTGTTAAAGTGGTACAATGTATTAACAACTCCTTTTTATATATGTATTTATATCTCTGATTATATCTAGGGGCTATCAAAAATTACTAGGCCATAAGCTTTCTTTTTAATTTTTAAATGCAGATCCCATACATCTGGCAATTTATGCATAGGGTGTATGCCAGGAATAGAAAATTCTGGAGAGAATGGGAAGAGAATAAAGGAACTGAAAGCAAATGACAATGACAATAATTTATCAATGTATTATTTCTACCAGTTGGATCTTGACTTTATGTTATTTAAAATAGATTAGACTATCTAGATATCTTAGTGGCTGGTTAAGTAGTAAAGAGGAAATAACCAATCACATAAGAAATGTAGTTATGCCTTTGAATTGCTTAGTTCTTATTTTTATAAATTCAAGAGCTAATACTGAGAAAGAAGCCAGCAAAAAACAAAAAGAAAGCATTCTTGAAATAAATTATTTTAAAATACAGGTGCTATGAATTGTGACCATTGCAAAGGGATCTCACAAAATTAAAATGGTTAGCCTAGCACAACCATTGTTACGGATTTTAATTTCATAGTAAAGAATAAATATTTCATTTGCTCGGTTTTTGAAAATTGGGAGAAATGATAGTTCAATATATGTCTTAAGTTTAAAGAGATTTTGAAAAGATAATTTGGATTATGCCCCTAAAATCAAACATTTGAAATTTGGTGGGAGAGATCTATTTTATATCCAACCAAGGATCTTGGTTAACTCTTTTTACCAAGCTAATTCAATCTAATGGTTTGTTCAATTTTTCTTCATAGATAATTTGTTATCAACTGCTAGTTGATGTAACAAATTTGAAAAATGTCATCATTTAAGAAAGAAGTACCTGCATTTAACTGGATGACTTACAAAATTAAACAACTAGGGTGCTTGGAGTTGGCTATAATTGTCTCCTTCCTCTCTTTTAAAAAGCTGACATTTGTAGTAAGACCTTTAAAAAACACATGATAAAAATGTATAGATAGCTTTATTGAGATATATGATAAATCATAGGTTGCACATGTTTAAAATATACAATTCGATTAGTTTTGACTTATCTATTTACCCTTGAAATCTTCAATACAATTAAGATAATGAACTTACCAGTCACTACCAAACATTGCCTCATGATCTTTTTGTAATCCCTCCTTCACTGTCTCCTTACTCCAGTGTTGAGACAACCACTAATCTGTCTTTTATCACTATATATTAGTTTGTATGTCTATACTTTTACATATAAATGAAATCATAGTATGTATTCTTTTTCGTCTTCTTTTATTCAGTATAAGTATTTTGGGATTCATCTGTAATTATTTTGTGTATCAATTTTTGTTACCTTTTATTGTTAGGTAGTATTTCACTTTGTGGCTATATGGTACTTTGGGATGTTTGGGTTGTTTTCAGTTATTGGTGAGTACAAAGAAAGCTATTATGATCATTTGGTACAAATTTTTGTGTGAACATGTTTTCATTTCTACTGTGTGCTAGTCGTAGAATGGCTGGCTCATATGATAGGTATACATTTTACTTACCTTTTGTTGTTTAAATTTGCAGTAGGGTGCATATACTTGTCAGGGAGAGACAGAGATAGGGAGATTAGAAAGTGAGAAAGCACTTCTCAGGGGGGATGGCCACACTGCGGTCCTTTCTTGATTCTCCTCTAGAGATTTTGGGCACAGCACACACACCCCCACACACCCACACCCACACCCACATTCACACAATGTACTTTTTAAGCCACTGGGTCCTGGACTCAAACCATGCAGTTGGCCGTGTGAGACCCAGCCACCTCAGCCATTGTGCCACAGGCCAGCCCTGTTTAACTTTCTAAGAAATTGTTAAACTGTTTTTCCAGTGTTACTGTACCACCAAGCAGTGTTTTAGGATTCCAGTTACATCCTTGCAATACTTTGCATGGTCAGTCTTTTTTTAACTTTAGCTGTTCTAGTGAATATGTATCTTAGTCATTTTAATTTGTATTTCCTTGATGACTAGTGACTAAAGATTTTGAACTCCTTCTTTTGTGTGCTTATTTGCCATTCGTATATCTCTTTTTGGTGAAGAGCCTATTCAAACATTTCACCCATTAAAAAAAAAAAAAGAATTGTCTATTATTTAGTTGTATGAGTTCTTAGTGTATCCTAGATACAAGATTTTTTTTTTGTCAATATGTGTTTTACATACATTTTCTCTCAATCTGTGAGATTGTCTTTTTATTGTGTTACTTATTTCTTTTGAGGAGCACAAGTTTTAAATTTTGATAAAGTCCAATTTACCTGTTTTTTTTTTGGGGGGGGAATGGGTGGAGTCCTACTTTGGTGTTGAATCTAAATTTGCTTAACCCAGGATCATGAAAATTTTCTCTTATCTTTTCCTACACTAGCTTTATAATGTTTAGGGTTTGCATGTAGATCTATCTATGTTCTACTTAAATTTTTGTATATGGTGACTAGGATTCAAAGCTAATTCTTTGCATATCCATAGCCAATTGTTCCAGCACCATTTGTTAAAAAGATGATCCTTTCTTAACCTTTGTACCTTTACCGAAAATTAGTTTTCTATATATCGTGGGTCTGTTTCTATACTCTTGATTCTGTTCCACTGATCTTGTCTATTTTCATTCCAATAGTCCATGATATTGTGATTGCTGTGAGCTTTAAATTAATAATAAGTCTTTGCATCAGATAGTGGAAATTCTTCAACTTTGTCTTTCTTCAAATTTGTTTGGTTATGCTAGATCCTTTGTATTCTAGATAAACATTAGAATCAGCCTGCCATTTTTATGATAGGGGTTTCTGGGTCTTAAGTGGGATTGTGCTGAATCTGTAGATCAACTTGGGGAAAATTGTCATCTTAACAATATTGACTCTTTCAATCTGTGGACTTAATGTATCCCTCCATTTATTTAGGTCTTCAATTTCTCTCAGCAATGTTTTACAATTTTTACTTTATTTATTTGTTAAGTCACACATTTAACCTTAATTCATGTGATTATTCTAGGTACAATACTAGCCACAACAATGAAGACATTGCAGAGTATGAAATAATAAAGATATATACAAAGTGTTTATGCAGGAAAGACACAGGTAGGAATACTCTTCCATCCCTGGGGTGGTAGAAGTCAGTTGATCTGGATTTTGGAGAAAGAGTTGACATTTTCTAGTGAATCAGGGTAAGAAACTGTCTGTGAAGGGTCTTCATACCCAAAAGTTTGGTTTGCTCAGCTTTTGGTTTACCCGCTCATCAGTTAATAGTTCCATTTTTAGAAAAACTTACTGTAGAAGGGGTAGAGTCCTAAGGGATGAGACCAGCATGGCCTGTACTTAAGCCACATGTAGAGTTGCCAGATTTAACAAATAAAACTACAAGAGAACTACTTCAGTGTTATCTTTCCAGAGAAAAAAAATTGCCTTTTCTTACAGACTTCATTGAGATATAATTCGTATTTAACACAATTTACCCATTTAAGTACACAATTCAGTGATTTTCTCTTCTACTATATTCACAGATATGTGAAACCACTATCCCAGTCAGTTTAAGAACGTTTTTATTACCTCAAAAAGAAACCTCATATCCTTTAGCTTTTACTCCTTTCTTCTTTTACCTTCCTTCCCTTTCTTTTTAGACCCAAATAACCATTACTCTACTGTCTGTTTCTACAGAATTGCCTATTTTATATATGCCATAAATATAAGATCATATGTTATGTGGTTGTTTGCAACTGGCTTCTTACACTTTACATACTGTTTTCAAGGTTCACTCATGTTGTTCATGTATCAATATTTCATTCTTTTTTATGGTCCAGTAATATTCTATAGCATGGAATATTGGTTAGGGTTCTCCAGAGAAACAGTACCGACAGGATAAATATATATAAAAGGAAGGATTTGTTGTAGGAGTTATCTCACATATCACAAGGTGGAGAAGTCCCACAACAGGCTGTCTGTAAGAAGCAGGGAAGCCAGTGGAACAGCTCCCAGTTTGAGGCCCTAGTGCCCTTGGAAGCAGAGA